AAAAAAAAAACCATAGGAGATTTTATTAAATGAACAAAATTATTAGACTAATTTTATGAGAGAGAGATTGAAGGCACATTTTATGGCAGACAAAGACCATTGAAAGAAATTTGTAGAATTCTACGGTGCCTCCACTCTTTACTCCTAGCATTTGAAACGAACTCCCTAATATGGAAGCAAACCCCATCTGTGGTCTCAATATAAAAAGGCTAAAGGAGAGCCCTCAAACGTACACAACCAACACAAAATAACACATAATTAATTATCCCTTCAAAGCACAGCCTTTGCCTTTGAATTTAGAAATGGCATTATCCCCCAAGTTGGTGTTGGCCCTGTGCTTGCTGGGACTAAGCCTAAGGCTAGGTGACGCTTACAGCACCCCGCAGGAGTATGTGGCCATCCACAACGCCATTCGCGCACAGTATGGCGTTGGCCCAGTGACTTGGAACCAAACCTTGGCCGACTACGCTCAGAATTACGCCAACTCTAAATATGCTACTTGTGAGATGAAGCACTCCGGTGGACCCTATGGGGAAAACTTGCTAGAGGCATACGAGACGACGTCGGCCGAGTTGACGGTGAAGTTCTGGGCAAGTGAGAGCAAGTTCTACGACTACAACGCCAACAAGTGCGTCGGGGGCGAGTGTGGGCATTTTAGGGCTGTGGTGTGGAGGGACACCAAACAAATTGGTTGTGCAATGCTCAAGTGCCAAAACAATTGGGTTTTTGTCATCTGTAGTTACTATCCTGCAGGCAACAATCCTGCCCTCCGTCCTTACTAAATTCACTTCCCATTTCCCAACCCAATTCTTTCAAAAACCTCATTCTTTCATTTGGCAGTTGATCAACAAATAATATAGTTTTGTTCTTATTCTTATCATTTTTTTCCAAATTTTTCATCTTGATGATCAACTTGCTCGATGATATAGAAATCAATCACTTCAACAAACGCTTAGTCATAATTCACTCAAAATTAAGTTTAATTTATTTCGATGTCTGGTGTCACGGTCATACATTTTTCAACCATGCGGCGCCATGATCTAAGCTCGATCATGGCCAGTCTTACAGGGAAAACTCTAGTCCCAATACACTTTCGCGCCCTTTGTGGCTTCGTCGGACCTTAGGCGGGGTTCTTTGTTCCTCGACCGAGCTTCACTTGCATGCAGAATGCTAACTTATCTCGGCACTACACGTCGCATGTACATGCATTTCACTTCTCTCGCGACTCTAGCCGACTTGCCTCTACTCTAGGTCAAGCCCCAAGGTTCTACCTTACCTTTACACTAGGCAAAAGTCCTCTAAACTCGATGTCGTAATTCATTTCTAACCATCTTGGTTTTCAGTCACTCGACTGTCGTGCTTCTACACTGAATCTGGACCTGGGATGAGTTTTGACCTTTGATAGTAAAACAGCAACCGAGTACTATTAGGAGATTCTTTTCGCTTAACTATGATGAAACTAACTTATCAGGATCGGACGCCTCATTAAGACCATTACTATCGAGAAATTAATCAATAAAGGGCTAAAAGATCTATACTGCCACGACGATTCCTGTCGATAGTCTGAAAGATTTGAAAATATTCATTTTTATAAATAATACAACATTTTCTAAAAGGTAATTAGAAATATGGTATTTTAAAAAGTTCATTAATCCCCTATTTACTTTTTGTTTTTGGTATAAAAGTTTTAGGAGTGGACACTCAAACTTCGGATTACTAATTAATTAGTATTTAATCAGTTGATTTATATTTAAGTTAGCTACTCATTTATTTTAATCAGATAATGATTAATAAGTATGTTCAAGATGTAAAAAATGTTGAATTTCATATGATAATCATTATTCATGTAGATTAACTGCAATTATATTTAACAATTGATTTGGATATGGATTAACTGCAATTATATCAATTATACTGCCATCTGTGAATATATGGAGTTATATATCGACAGAAAGAAGACAACTCTTTAACAACGATTCTACAAAGTCGAGTTTTCTAAGCTCGGTGTTCCATATCTGAACTACCACATTTTCTCCATTCCGACCGACTTACGATAGGTACGGTCGAGGTGTCGAGATTAAAGAGTAACCAAGAGAGCTAGTACAAATGACGACAAACATATTTTCTAAGAAGACAACTTGGTCCTAGGTTGTCGGAAGCCCTCTTGGAAGCTCGCCTCTATAAATAGAGTGTCCCTCCTTTTCTAAAGGTACGCGAAATATACCCTCTCTCGAATATAGATCAGACTGAGTATTGACTTGACTAAAGCATCGGAGTGCTAAGTTTGTTTTGCAGCGTGTGGAGTTCTTCGATGCGACCAGTCCGAGCCTCGCGGATTCCAAGATTGATCTACTATCAAACATATACTAATTAACCAAGTTAAAACGTCATTATCGATATAGATTAGTCATGAATTTAACTTTTTCTCTTTGCTATTTTTGCATTTTTTTTAATAATATTTTATCTCAACAACCTATATCTCTATTTAATTACTAATATAGCAAAAAACAACACCAACTCTTAACCAAATGGTATGACCAATAGTGGTGTGGCAACATCATGTTTATGCATAATACATGTTAATAGCATTAATTAATTAGAGTCCCATTAAGATAATTTGCATATATAATAATAATTCATAAAGATAACACCATTATCTTTCTTCTTCCTTTTTTTCTTTCTATGACAATTGGCCAACTCATCGAAATTTTTCAACTTTGATAAGTTCAGTAAGGAAACTGGCCTTGATAGTTGCCTGGAGGATCATAGTTACATATCACAAATATCCAATTGTTATGGCATTTCACTCGAGCACAACCCACATGCTTGGTGTCCCGCCACACCACCTGCGTATAATGGCGACACTCGTCCCCGACGCAGCGGTTGGATCGGTGGTCGTAGTACTTCTTCTCGCTCACCCAGAAGTTCACCGCCTCCACTGCGGTCATCTCACCATACCCTTCAGATAGATTCTCGCCGTAAGGTCCATAGGAGTGTTGCAGCTCGCAAGTGCCAATCTTCTTGTTGGCGTAAGTTTGGGCGTAGGCGGCCAAGGTGTAGTTCCACGACACCGGGCCGACACCGACCCTGGCTCGGGCAGCATTGTGGGCATTGACGAAGTCTTGGTGGGAGTTTTGGGCCATGGTGAGGGGTGCTAGGGTTACCCCCAACAGGGTTATGGCTGAGAGAAGGTTGGCCAATGCCATTTTGGACATCTCTCTTTCTTCTCTTGGAACAAACACTTGTTTTGGTGGTGGAGAACTGTGAAGTCTTGTAAAGGCTATTTATAGATAGAGAGCATAGAGAGAGAATATTGTAATGCTTAGAGAGAGGGTGAGAGTTGTAATTTCCTCTCTCTCTCATGCATATTGGAACTAAAGGAAAAAAGCAAGTGCATGTGAGAAAGTGTGACCAATGAAAGAAATCCCACAATTTACTCTAATCAAACTTTTAACCGTTAGATAGGTAGATAACATCAATCCACACTTTAGTGAATAAAAATATCAATTACATTTCTGTTGTTGGTTGAGAAACACGGTGACCAATACATGATATCGAACTGTGAGACCTCAACGTAGATGGTACCCCAAAGCCTCAAGTCTGTCACTATGTCATCCTCCAAAGACTTGTAGACTTCTCGTTAAAAAGTGTTCGAATTTCATCTCCAATATGTCTGTCTCTTCAATCTAAGAATGACTCGTCCACCCAAAATTAGAATGGTATAGATGAATAAGAGGATTAATAAAAACCAATTTAACTTTTCCATTACTTTTTTATATCCGTGAGTGTTCCAGTTAGCTTGCGAGCACCTCGACTAATCTCACGGGGCAACCATCCAATTCTACTACATTTAGTTGCCAAAAACACACAAAATTAATTGATACACCATATAACCAATTGTTTTTACCTTTTCTTTTTCCTTCGCTGCATAGATCACTCCACAAATTATTCTTGAATCAAGGGTTGTTCTTCTTCTTTATTAACTTTTTTTTAGAGAGGTAATTGGGTAAGTTTGAAAAGTAGGTGTCACCCAAAAAATGTGGCGCAAATAAAGCTTAAAATTATGGTTGGTTCACATGGCTATATGTATATATAACTAACAAAGTTGTAGACAGTTGAACTTTCAGCTGTTTCCATAATAATATTGGAACTCAAAAGTCATTCTTTCAACAGTGCTTTAATTTAATTTGGGTTTGCCCATGTGAGTGTATGTCGCTTTCCTTATCTTCTTCTTTTTCTTATTACCCTTCCAACTTGATAACATGCTTCTCAATTGTCTCCATTTTTATATTTGGTTATAAAAATATATGCTTTTCAACTTTGATCTCTAAATTCATCGATGGTTCTAATCTGGTCTATAAAATTTAACAAGTTCTCCTCATCTTTTCAATGTGGGATCTTTAACATGCTCTCTCAAGATCGTGACTCTTTTGGCTCATAGATCTTGGTCGGATCACATTTTTGGACTGGATGCTCGTTTGAGCTTTTGAACTCTGATACCATATCAATATTTATTGGGTTCCATCTCAAAATCAATTAGCAATGAGAGGAGTAGTCTCATGTTATTATAAACTTTCGTAAGGCCCCTTATCTTTTTAGTGTATGACCCTTAACATCACTTGACATATTAAAATCTAGAGGAAAAATAATGAAAAAGTAGCATGACATGTTTTGCTCTAAATTAATGTATAAATATTTTTTATGTACCATCCTAAAAGATAATGGTAGAGTTACCAACGGATAGAAGTTGACAAAAAAAAATCTAGTTCAAAATTAAAAGTATATTAAACATTTTTTTAGTATCACGCGTGCGTGGGAGTGAAGATTCGAACTCACAACCTTTTTAGTTAGACATAGATTTAATTCAGAGTCATTAGTCCGAATTTATTAAAATTTGAGAGATTAAAATAGTATTTCTTATATGTTTTAACCCTATACTTTACCTCAACACTTTACTCATCTAATATTATACTTCTCTTCAATTCTTGTATATATATTATTTTCCATTTGAATGGTTTTATTTTTTTTGTTAAATTCCCTATATTCTTAATTACATTATATATCATTATTCTTTTGATCAAAGCTTATATCTTTTTGTTATGAAAAAAAATAGAAATCTAACCTAACTACTTATTTGTGGTGGAAATTATTCCAAAATGAGAAACATAAATCCAACTTGCCATTATTAGTTTTACACTCACATGGGAGTTAGCTCTAGCTTCTTTTTACTTTTCAACAAAAATGTTTTAAAAAAAAAAATAAATGATGGATCATATTTCATAAACAAAATATCATATTATAAAACTCATTGTTACATTTACAAATAACTTGTCAGGTTGGATTTATATTACCAAACAATATTAATACTAATATTATAATATAACTTTTAAAACCCCCACATTTGAGAACGAAACAAAATTTTAAAAATATAGAGATCAAGTTAAAATAAAAATTACTAAAAAAAAATAAATTAAATCTAATCATTTTAGGTTATAATCTTAGGATGTCTTTTAATTATTGCTAGTTGGCTGATTACGGTAAGCTCAGCATTATTCATAACTTAATTGGGAAGTGATTTGATTTTTGTTCTTTTATCTAATTATTTATTATTGCTAGTTTTATAGAATGTATTAATTTGAGAGTATAAATTTTTCTCGTGTGATCAAGCACATGTAGAGACATAAAAATATATACCACACTTTTTTTTTTCTTTTTTTGGAGAATTCATGAAGCAAATAATTTGAACATGACAAGATAATGTTTTAAAAGAATTTAACCCAAAAAAAAAACGCACACCCTTTTTTTAGTATAACACGTGGGGTGGGAGATCGAACTCATAACTTCTTGGTTTGAGATATATACCAATTACGTTTGAGCTATGTTCACTTTAATTAAAAAAAAACGTACACCGTTTAATATTTGACAATTTGAACTACATAAAATAATATGACAAGGTAGCACATATGGTCCAATTAATTTAAAGTATATGATATATTTAATCATATAAAGTTTAAAATTTCATCGTTTAGATTTTATGTTTTTTCTACTTATTTCATTTTTCTTACTAAAAATATATTTTATTTTGGTCTCTATATTTCAGTCACCTAAACTTTACATTAAAAAATTATTTTAATCTTTTTCATTACTCTTTTAACAAAAAATTTAAATTGGTTTTGAAACTTGGCACTTGACCTACAACATATAGTTAATTAATTAAATAGAAATTATGCCAAATAACATAAAATTAATATGATTACTTTTTTCTCAAAAGGTCACAAAAGTGCGTTTCTGATTGGTCTCAGGTAATTGTCTAAGTTTACGATTTATGTCATTTTTTTTAATTTTTAACCCAATGCTTATTTATAAAAATATATATTTCTTTTGTATTACTTTTTTAATTCTCTCTTAATTCAAACTGTGGTTCATTTTAGACATCTAACCATCAAAAATAAATAAATACATCCATATATGTGATATGTTGGGTTACTATTAAATATTTTATCAAAAAAATAACACAATACTAAAATAATTTTGTAGGTAAAGTTCGGGACTAAAATAAGATATTTAAAAGTTGAAAACCATAGTGAAACATGCATAAAAATTTATGGATCAAAATAAGATTTAATTAAATCTTGTTACGTATTATAGCATGGAATAATTCATGTCTATATCTAGTTTTATCCCTTCTTAAATATCCAAAATGAAAGTCGTGGATAAAAACAATCAGTCACATTACCAATCATTTGTCGAATCAAAGTTTCAAATAACAAACTTAATTACATGTTCAAAAGAAATTTTGAACATAATTTTGGTTCAAACATTAGAAAACCTACATACCAAAGTTTAAGGCACAAATACCTTTCGTGATGGCATAGATGACGTCGTAAAAAACTTCATAAGATTTCGTGATGTCATAAGGTTTCGTGACATTTTTTAAACGTCACAGAAGACTAAATTTCTACTAGCGTGGAGGGAAAACAAAGAAAAATAAAAAGTGGGATTAGGGATGGATCTTCAAAATAAGAATAAGAACCTTAAAAGTTGGATGTGCAATGATGATTAAAAAGGTTTAAGGTACCCTAAATAAGGGTAAAAATATCTTAACATTTGGCTTATGATTGATTAAACTTGACCATAAATCAAGGTAATTAAGGTAAATGATTAGGAATTGATTTAAGGTACCCTAATTAAACAAGCGCGGTGATTGATTAAACTTGACCATAGATTGAGGTTAAGGTAAATGATGATTAGGACTTGTAAAATCAATTGAAGTATATGAGCAATTAAAAACATCATGTTTACATGATGAATTTTAGTTTCATTTTAAATATTGAAAATCATTAGAATCTCGATTTTTATATATTCTAACAAAAAAAAAATTGAATCTATCACCGATCACAAATGTGAGGTAAGGATCTTAACCATGCAACAACCCTCACTAAACTATATGCTAAGTTGACAATGAAAATTTCAATAATAAAATTTAATTTAATTTTTTTTTCTTTTAAGAATATAGTAATACAATCTTGAGAGATAAAAGATTCACACTTCGACTCAATAAAAATGTTATTATGTTTTAACCATTAAACTATATCGTTGAAAGAAGAGATAGGACTAGAAACAAATTGACCTTAGATTCAGCACTTAAAAGAAAGTGGTGGGTGGCCATGTGCTTACTTTTAATGCCACAAATGAATGAAGAAATTGTTGATGCTATTATAGCAAATTCATGAGTGCACCTTGACTTTAATCTCAAGTATTTGAATTTTCCCCTCTTATCCAACCAAAAGTTTAACTTTTTTGTTATGTTTTCTTTTTTTTTCCATTATTTAATATCTACGAGTGTCCGTATCAATTTATTTAATATCTCGATTAATCTCATACGATAACCATCAGTCTTTGGTTTCAATTTAGTTTATATAAATTGTTATTATTTTTATCTTTTAATTAAAGCTTATCAAACACCCCTAAATTTGATAAGTTAATTATGGTCCAAGGAGTCATAAAATTGTAATTTGTACTATCGTATTGTATTTTATAAAATAGAATTAGGCTTAATAACCCTTAATTAAATTCATACTTTTTAATCAATGTGACTTTTTAGACCCTCACATGTGAAGCTTATATGTCATATTCACTAATAACTTGTCACGTTTAATTTCTATTACTCTTTGATTAAAGACATTGGTTCAATTTTAATCCATGAAACTTTAAAAAACACAGGGATCAAATAGAGATAAAGGTTAAAGCATATGTACTAAAATATGCACTATCTAGCGTACGAACTAAATCTAGTGACGTAGAATCGTCAACCACATTGTTTCAGCATCTCAAATAATTTCTCCTTAATCCAGCTCGACATCTTGTCCCTACAAATTTTGCTTTTGCTTTTGTTCGTGTAGTAGAGCTGCTGATAATTCCATAAAATTGGATTAATTTAGCATCCTGACTAATTTATATTTGACCAAAGTAGAGTGAAAGCACATATAATTTATTTATCTTTGTTTTAGTGAATTTGTTGTAAAATTTATTTATCTTTGTTTGAGTGAATTTGTTGTAAAATTTAGTTTGGAGTCTGGTTATGGTTTCCAATGGCTTAAAATTCTTGTTGAGGTGCATTTTGCTATAGCATTCCATAGCATGGGAGAGCTGGTCTTAAAATAAATATATATGTCTGATAAGTGAATAACATGACGTTTATTATTTTCACCCCGAGAGCACATTATCAATAGTTCGACCTAAAGTCATGTGTCTGAATCTTGCAAGGCACGAGTTTGAAAACCAGTTTGGAAATTGTCGAACTTAATTGTTCACAACTAAACTCGACTCTGACGCCCAAGTGAATAACTGCATAACTGAATTCTCCCTTAACGGGTACAACTCGTCTAGAATCTCGGAGATAACATAAATTTGAATTCCTTACACTAACAATTATCACATTACACTAAAAATATCCCTAAGTTAAAAGCTTTTGGAGTGCTTATTTTCGAGTATTCTTGGAGACCTATTGTTTTTGATCGAGCAATTTCGATGAAAATAATAGGTAAAGGAAGACTAGTTTTTGGAGGCTACTTTGTGAGTTTTACATAAAAATGAATAAGAAAGTAATATTATATATATATATATATATATGAACTTGAAGCGCTATTTTTAAAAGCACATGTTTGGAAGGAAAAAAACCACCAAACCCGTTCCCACATGGAAATGGGCATCCCCAGTGCAACCCAGATGATAGGGAATATATTAGAAATTTCTAAGAATACCAGACGTAGACCGAGTATTCCCCAACCCAATCGAACCCGTACATCATTTCATCATCCCTAGTTCAAATCCTCATCTACTTCCTCATTATGATCAAATTTGCAATTAAATCTTACTATTTTTAGTTCCATTAATACACAATTATTGCAGACTCCCATGAGGAAATTTCCTACTTGTTCTCAGGCATTCTGTTCCAAGTATATCATTTCTAGACATCCCATTCCCATGCAAAAATTAAAAAGAAAAATCTTTTGATTGAAAACAAAGCTTTCATCATGAAAAATTAAAAACTACAAAAAGAACTTAATTACAAATTCCTAAAGAGAGATGCATTGTACCATAGACACAGAAACTAAATAACGAGAAGGCATAGTATAGAGGTTCAAGAAAAACAAAAACCAAAAAAGTTTAGAACCATATGAAATCTTAAATATAATTCAGCGAATCACTGAAAAAATCACCAATTGATTATGTATGTCAAATAATTATATCATAATTTACCAAGATACAAACAAACACTCAAGAGAAAATGCCTATTCTAAAACCTATAGCAGCAGCAATTTGCTTCACTGAAAATGCATATAAATTAAAGAGCTAATATATGTGACAATCTGAACAGAAATTAGAGCTCTGCAGTTTCCATGTTGCTTTTAGAAAGAGGAGGGGAAAAAGGAAAAGACACTAAGCACTTTGTGCAAAGCAAAACAGGGTTGGAAATAAGCTTACAGAAAACTACAGTTTATGAGTTTTTTCAAGAGAAGGATTTGACGTGAAAGACTTGGCAAGCAGGACTGTAGGACCTCTTTTTTGCAGCCTGTTCAAACTTCTTTATCACTGCTTCATTCTCTTCTAAATTTGTCTGAACAAAATACCTTATCCACCAAGACGAGCTTCGAAATTTCGCCTTCACAATAAAATATTTTCAGTAAAATTGGGGCAAGCAAAGGAAATGATGTGTGTAAGTTCATAATTACGGGTAGTTCCTACAGTGATCAATCTAGTGACGTATACACTACAATGTATCGAGTTCTCAATGTAGATGCTATGCTAAGTAGTGGGTCCCATGAGTGTTATAGGAGGTACAAGCGCTTCTATTTTGGAAGGCTAGATAATGACATTGGAAGCGTTTCACTCAACCAAGCCTCAATTGAATCTTTCATGGAAAAGAAAGAATGTAAACTCTGAAATCGCACTATTCCTAGCAGCCTATATTTTTCACGTTCACCGATTCCCGCTTTGGATGTATGGGAATATTTGATGGTTCATCTAATCTTAGATCCATTACAAGACTGACAAGCACAATCTGTGGTCAGTCTGAAGTTTCAGTCATCAAACTACTTAAAGACCGTTCCCAATCAATGATTAAATTCTAGAAAACTATCTTTTCATCCAGAGTGTCTTTTAATTCAATTAATGCTAGCTACCTTTCCAAAAATACAAAAGGAAAGAAAAGGTACTTACTGGACGGCCAAATTTGGTTAGATCCGAAACTTTAACCCTTTGCTGACCTGGAAAGCCTGCAAATTGAAACAGCAGTGAAAAGAGAGGAAGAATACCAAATAAAATCAATCAATCAATCTAGACTAACAGAAGTAAATAGATTAATTTAAACCAAAAAATGGTAGGAGCAACTAGAATTTTTCTCTTCAATTTCCGATGGTATCAGACCATAAATCATAACTTTCTGCCCTTATGAGAGAACGGTTAGTCATTGTAATTGTTAAGAATGATAGAAATGGATCAATCTAAAATAAGAGATTTAACAAATAATGTAAACCTCCTTGCTATCAAAATCAACTCATGTGCCAAGAGTTGCAAGATCATAACCCAGACACATTCTTGACACACACAGACTAATTTGAGGTCAGGCTGTAGGGTGAGACGTTCAAGAAATCTACTGGGTTTTTATAACCACTTATGCAGTGATTGAGAAAAGAATTACGGACAACTAGAGATTATTAGAAGCAAAACAAAGACTTCCATGAATTATAATACAATTTTATCACAAACTGGTCGATAAAGAGAGAATTATGAAAGTGAAGGAACACCGAGGAACAGTAACTTGTGTTATCCTTCTGCTGGGGGACACCCTCCCCACCCCCACCACAGTACATACTATAATCAACCTCTATTTAACAAGATTAGGTACATGGAAAAAATAATAATTTTGAATGATTTAAATTTAAACTTTTTAGAGGGGCTTACCGACAAAAATAGCAACACCATCAGCAGAAACCCTTGCCAGTTCTGGAAGAGTTTTGTTAAGGTATCTGGGAGACAAGTAATCCAATGCATCTGAGACAATGACGAGAGAAAATGACTTTGCTCTATATGGCAGGGGAAACTTAATATCAGCAGCACGCACAATGCCCTTCCGCACAAGGCTTCTGCAATTGGCATCAGCGTCATCTAATTCATAGGGCTCCACACCCCATGCTTCTGTATCGTCTTCTTTTAACAATTTAGACACCACTGAACAAGTATCAGGTCCTAGATGTAATACTTTATGCATGCTATCTCCATATGCTTTCTTTAAAATGGGTATTGCTCGTTGTACTTCTGATGAGCACAATATACCACCTGCAGATATATGCTTGAGATCTTCAACCTTAGAAATTCCCAATATTCATAGTACTTGATTAATAAAAATGAGTTTTTTATTATTAGTGATTAAACAAAAAATAAATCGATCTGTATAAGATAAATTAATCATTAATTCTCTTCCCCTGTTTATAATGCATGAGGCACATTAGAGTAGTGTGCAAGGCATACAAACGAAGTGTGAGCCTCAATGCACATACAACAAATTAAAAACTAAAAATAAAAACATATTAGAAAAAAATATCAAATCTACACAATTCTTTGAATATGTTTGCTTTCAAATTAAATAAAGAAGCTTGGTTTGGGAAATTGGGAAGCCCGAAACAGAGACTTAAATTCAACAAAAGCAGGAGACAAGAGATAGTGGGAATCACCATGATCTCATGTGAAGAGATAGGAAAGTTAAATTCAACAAAATCAGGGTAGGGGCAGGCTCGGCTGGACAGTGGGCATGCCCAATTATCAAAATTGAGGGAATAACATAGGTACTAGAAGCCAAAAGAGTAAGAAATAGACAAAGGGAGTCACAATGATAGAGCGTGGGAGGGCAAAATCACAATGTGTGTGTGTGTGCGCGTGTGTGTGAGAGAGAGGGAGAGAGTGCCTAGTACGAAAGGTGGAAAGAGATAGAGAGCTGTAGGTCCCATTTCATGGACAAGTGAACGATAAATAAAGAATTCTTGTCCTCAAATGATGGCAGGGATGGTGATGGTACCTAGTCTATTGACCCAAAAGCCGATCGCGTTGTCAAATGGAAGGTTAAATGTTTAGATCTTCAACAAAGATTGTTAAGACAGACATTGCAAAGGACCTAGAAGGTAGAATAGCAATCTCTAATTCCAAAGTTGCCATTATGTTCATTTGGTTAAAAAGCTAGAGACTACCACTTATCTCTAATAGATTTGATCATTGAGAGTCAATAAATCAATATTTGTACCAAAAGTAACCCCCGTCCCCAAGGCACTGTTCTCATAACCATTTGGACAAATGCAGTGGACTTTTACCCACAACACCCATGACCCAACCTTTGGGACTGTCTTGCCATTTTAAAATCTCACCTAAACTTCTTCATATAGTAACACTTTAGAATGTATGCAAATTGCAAATACATTCTAGGGTAGGTAATGTACAGTAATATAGTTTCATCATCCAGTAGTCAAGTCATGTAGACTAGTTCAACGCCTGATGGAAAAGAAAATAGGAAAAATAAAAACAAACAATTGTACTGCCTCTTAAACAAATAATTGCATTTCAGACTAGAAATTTTGATGAAACAAACCTTTTCCTTAAAATAAGTAACATATATTTACCTTCAACTTTACTCACAGCCTCTATATTGCTTCTTGATCCACCTGTAATGCAGAATGACAACGAATAAGCAAATAAATACAGTAAATACACTAAGAAAATATGGAATGATAGAAGCCTCAGTAACTGAGCATTTTCAATAATCAACACCAAAAAAATTGATAAAAGAAGATCAGCCTAGTTGGCAGATATGTTTACAATCACAAAAACATGCATATGCTCTTTTTCTTACTTCTTTGCTACCAGTTTCACGTAGTTTTGCTAGTAGGAGATATCCTTTTTTAATTTGCCAACTAATTGAAGTAAGCAGTGTAGGATATCTAGTGATTTTTCTCTTTCCAACTAATTAAAGTAAGCAGTGTAGGAGATCAGCTATTTCAAGATAATTAGAGCTATTGAGATCAAGTTGCAGATTCAATGATAAATTATGGGCAGGGTCTATCAAAAAGAGACTATTTCTTCAAAATTACCATCCACAAATATAAAAAGACAGTAGAATATGAGCGCAAAATGGGGTGGAAGGGCACATAGAAAAATGATCATCTAGGCAATCCTAAAATAGATCTGAACAACATATTGATGATGATAATGGTGGTGGTGATGCTGAAAAAGAGAGAGAGAGAAAAAATGGGGGTTGATTTTGAATTAAAAAGTAGTTGAGATAAGAGATCAATAATAAAGACCTGATAGACGATAACAATATCCAATAAGAAGAATTGCACCCTGAAATTTTTTAACACAGAAAATTAAAATTAGTGGCTAACAATATTTATTCCCAGGAGAAGAGAAGGTAATATTTTTTCAGTCATTTCCTCATTTTACCCCTCCACTCGCCACCCCACTCCACCAACGCAAAAAAACAGAAAAGGAACCTCAACGCTTACAAAGAATCTCTCAGTATTCTTTTTCATTTGAAGAGCGGAGGGAGGGGGAAGAGTGAAATGAAGATGAAGATGTTAGCAAAGAGAAGTACCACAACAAGCCCTATGGTTAGTAAAGGCGATGAGCGTGACTTGGACTGTATTGAGCCCACAAATGGAAGACTTCCACCATCAACAAGACGTCGAGAAGGATTTACTGGCCTCCTTGACATGCTTTTGTGATAGTAGGAACCTGCAAAGTCACAGTACTTCATCAACATTTGATAATACTATTATCAAGTAGATGTTATTCACTTGTGCACCTATTTATGTCAGAACTCCAAATTAAAAATAAATTTAAAAAAGGCACGGTTTTGCAGACATACTTGTCTGTTTCTCTAGTAGTAACAATGAAATAGCTCAAACGTGTTAAAAAGTAGAAATCAAAAATTCAGAATTTACAAGAAAACGTCTAAAAGTAGGCACTACATGTCTTAGCTAGTTAAGAAAAAAAACTCAGTGCAGTCAAACTTGGTCCAACTTTCAATGTGCAGCTAAAATCTTTTCAGCATTCTGCAAGATGTCATTTATGTCTCAAAAAATTGCTAAATCTCTCTAAATTCAAGATTTTAGAACCAATAAGACAAATTCACAAGATCATCATCTTAGTTCAACTAAGTAGTTGGTACTTGGTAATCCAAATGAATGCTGAGAACAATATCAACATGGTGATCATGAATGAGTAGAAAATACTTCAGCCTGCTTAAAAATTTGAGCCAAAAATCCATCACCATTTCAAAGTTGACATTAAATAATTAAAATCAACTAAATTCTTAAAGATTGTACGGCTAATTAATTAGTTTGCAAACGGAACCCAATTGACCAGGCTTGGGAGTTGGTCACAAGTATCAAAAGTTGCAAGAATCCATTTTCGTAACACATTATATTGTTTCTGATATATGTTACCAGACCGCATCTCGTTTCGATTAAGATTCCAATAAATTAGACAATAACTAGGGATTAGTAAAGACAAAAAAAAAAAACTTTAAAATATATACAGACAATGGAAGAAAATAGGAAACGGATATTCCATTTTCACAGGAAATCATTTCTCCTAATCTGGATCAGAAAAATCATTGCGAATCGGATTACAGAACTTAATAATTACGCAAATGAAAAATAAATCGCCAAAACCTGAAAAGAAAGAGTACACTAGTAAAAGTTCCAACGTTCACGCCAGCAATCAATTCCCCAAACCTGAATTAGAAGACAAGTGACTTGAAAGTTACGCACACAATCACACTATTAGAATCAAAATCAAACGCCGTGCAAGAAAGATACATAAGATAAGATATCGCAGACGATGAAATGAAACAAATGCAATTTAGAAGACGGAAAGTGCATGGGAATGCGAAGGGAGCAGGAATTTTCAGAGATTCGAAGCTTACAGTAGCTGAATGCTCCGGCGGGAAGGGGATGGGGGCGGAGTTTCAGATCTTGGAGCCGGTTTCAGATCTGAGTTTCGCCGGTCTCACTCTCAAAGCTCGGGAAGCCAGAGCGCTGTGTCGTCATCAAGATTCAAGAGCCTCTTCTGAAAAATCATGAAAATTTAATAATGCCCACATACAGAAATTACATAATGCACTTGGAGATTTATTTTTAGTTTTTTTTTTCTTTTCTTTTCTTTTTTTCTTTTTTGAAAATATTTTATGAGTTTATATATAGTTTAGATTTTACTTTAAAAAACTAATCAAATGTAAAACTAAGATTGAAGAACTAACTTTCATTTCCCCATAGAGGTATTTTTCAATCTATATTTGGATTGATAAAATTGGAGGATCTAGATTGATAAAATTGGAGGATAAAGTGTAGATGAAGGCTAAAAGAATTTATTGGTGTCGAGGATGGAAAATGCATACTCAAACCTCCTCGTGCTGATAAAATTTCTAAGTCGAGGTTGATTTAGGAGTTGTGTAGACTTAGAATCACTTAAATTTTGAACATTGAAAATCTCTTTTTTAGTTGATGCAAAAATCTGCCAAAGTGTCGTAGAGCGACCTATGTTGGGCCCTAGTGAGTTGTTGTGAAATAGGGAAGGTCTCTCAAGCGAACTCAAGAGGGAAGACCTCACGGTCGAACTGATACAAAGCGAGCTGGAGGACGAGATCTACAAAAATAAATAGAGCACTCCGACACTCAAGTTAGTATGAGTTCAAACTAGGTAGATCAACTTCAGACAGAAATTGCATCAACAGTTGGCACCATCGGTAGGAAATACATTTTAAGTTATGGCACCATCGGTAGGAAATACATATTAAGTTATTCTTATCAAATCAAGCTATGACTCGCATAGTTTCTCGAAGCTCTAGTATTCCCAGCAATTAGGTGGACCTTCAAAGCTCTTCAAGGTCTTCCGCTGCCACAAGATCTTTTTGTTAAGATCTTTCCGGAGGATGACTTTCCCCTCGAGGAAGACCTTCTCCTCACAACAGTTTTTGCTCAAGGAAGATCTACTCCAAGAGGAAGAGCTTATAATCAAGAATGATCTTCCCCTCGACGACAGAAGATTTACTCTGAAAGGAAGACCTCATAATTGAGGATGGACTTTCCCATCGACGATGACTCTTTCAAGAATGACTTTCCCCTTGAAGAAGACATTCCTCTCGACAACAAATCTCTAAAAGAAGACCTACCCCAAGAAGAAGACCTATTATTGATAAATCTATAATCAAACTTTTGAAAATGGATTGATTTGATTTGTAAAACAATCGAGGAAAATTTTCAAAGGTGTAATTAAAAGGATGAACTCGTCAAAACTAGTGTGGTAAGAGTATACGAATCAAGGGGATGAGTACGATAGGAGGTTGGAGGAGACTAGAAAAATGTGGCTGGTAACTTTATGCCATTAGATATATGAGAATTTTTTAACTTCTATCGAATGGTTACTAAGGCACACATAAAGATTTCAATTATGCATTCAAAAGTTATGAGGGGACAGTCACATTCTTTCATGATTTGGGACACATTAACACACATTAGTAATTTCTAGATTTGTGGTTTATATATAATATTACTATGTCACTTCTTATAATGAAATAAAATGTGTAATTTTCTTCGAACCTTTAGAGAAGTAATAAGATATCTTGACCGTTGAACTAAGCATAGTAATTTTTCATGGGATTCTACTAGGTTAGAGTTGTTGGGTTTTGGCAAAATATTATAATTGAAGTTTGTCGCATATCGAAAAGATACAGATAGTGTGCTCACTAAATAATAGAAGTTGTCTTACATCGAAAAGATACAAGGAGGATGTGTGTTTCAACTCATATAAAAGAAGTTCATGAACTTGAGTTTTAATCATCCCAATTGAAATATTTTAAGTCTGATATACCAGCTTTGGTTAACTGAACGGTATTTGGTTTGAGAAAGTGTTTGGTGTAATTGAAGTCGGGGAGAGAATTTTGTGTGATTGTAATAATTTTTCATGGGTCGTGGTTTTTTGCGCCTGTTTAAAGTTTTTCACGTAATCATTGTGTTCCTTTATTTTATTGTTTTCTTTAAATTTCTCAGTTATTTTCTACTTATTTTTGCAATATAAGTCTCGGGGATTTTTTTCCATAAAAAATTGGATGCAAAACATTTAAACATATAGAGAGATGTTGAGGATATATTGGGAGTAAGTTATATAGTTGATGGTATGTTGTAAGATATAAAAGAGTTGGGAGTATTCTTCTATAATGCTAATACTCCTAGTGTTGGATAATGTTAAGGTCTAATATACAAGAAATCAGTGTTATACTACTTATGTTTATGATTGCTAGTTTGAATTCACCAAGAAGTGAATGTTGTGATTGTGGGAGCAAAAATTTACCTTCTAACTATATTTAGAATCGTATGGCAACATTAGAGAGGGGAATAAGGATGCGTACCAATTTTTAGATTTTAAAAATAAATTAAGAATAACAAAAATCAAACGAAATTTAAATATACAGATTGAAAAAGTAGAGAGAAATAAATGATAAATATACAGATTGAAAAAGTAGAGAGAAATAAATGACACCAGAAATTGGTTGTAAATTCCTACACCATTCCTCAAGACTCCTTCGATATTTTATTACACCACCGATCAAGCCACTTTTTGTCCTAGACTAAAAAGAAACTCACAATCATTTTTACTGTCACATGATCCAACCAATTGTGTTTTCTCACAAGTACCCACACTGTAACACAAAAATCCGGATTGTATATAAAAATAAGCAATACAAGGAAATATATATGGACAACTTTTTGTGCGGGGAGAATGAAAAGTTTGAGAGCAAACTAATTTGAAAGGGGAAAGATGTTTGCTTTGATAATTGGTGCGTAGAGGAAGATGAATTTTGTGGTTTTAAATAGAATTTCATGGATGAAATTTGACCATGGGATTTAGAGCAACAAAATATGAGCCCGTGAGATTTAGAGAAATTGGTGGAAATTGGGAAATTATAGGGATTGAGAGTGATCGAGGAGATTAGAGACAAATTTGTGGAAATTGAGGAAAAATTCATAATTAAATAATTTCTGAATTTATTTGAATGTACCACGTGCCGTCACATGATTCGTACACGTCATCCACCATGTCCACAAAAGGTAAGTTTTCAAGGACTAAAACTATATTTTAGCTATTGTTTAATATAAATTTGTTGAGTTGATGACAGATTCTTGGACCAGCCTATCATCCATACTGAAAAGTTTTGGGCCTGGATCAGCTATTGTTGGGCCCTTTAACAAAATTTGAAGGCATTTTATGGAATAAAATTCCCATTTTGGCCCCCATTGTTTGCCATATTTCCTCTTTATCCATGAGTGGTATTTATTTTCAAAGATGTCCTTTTAGGTCACTTGGTTTTATATTTATTTTTCTTATTCATTTCATACCATTATTGTATATAACAAATTAAGGAAAAAGTTTAAACATTCTTAGTTAAGTATAAGATATGAACCTTAGCATAGGACATGCTAGCTACACTAGTGCCCAACAAACCAAGATGAACATTTGTAAAAAAATATAACAAATAATGTATATATCGTAAACTTTGACCTTGCCCAAAAAGTTAAAAAACTCGCTCGTGAACCAATCTTTTCGGGCGAGTTTTGGCCTCAATTTGTTGCTACTGTTTTATTTTTCGGACAAAATTCACTCAATTTTTAGCCTCACCTTTTACTACTAGTTTATCTCTGGGGCGAAAGTCCCCCGAGTTTTCATCAATAAACCAAAAAATTCTGATCTCATTTGCAAATAGAAATCACTCCTCTTTATTTCTTTTTTAAAAAATTAACATCAACAACCCAGATTAAGTTTTCATCAAAATACGAGAGTATCTAGTGTATTAGAGGGGATCGTTGAATCAAGATTAAGTTTTCTTAAAATGATTATTCATTTATTTTTTATAGTTAACGAACTTGGGGTAAGATTGCATGAATTCTAACCGAGATTTATGCCCATTTAATTTCAACGAACCCAAGACGAGGACAACGACACAAAAAAAAAACCTCAATGAAATTGCATGAATCTTGCTCAAAATTTATGATCATTTAATTTAAACGAATCCAAATTAAAAAAAAAGGGAGATTTTATGGAATCTTGGTCATGATTCAAGTCCGATATTATGCCCATTTTAATTTCAATGAACCTAAAAAAAATTTTATCCAAAATTAGAAAAAAAAAAATAATTTATCTTAATCGTAAATCTCTGTCAAGACACTGTTTGGCTTCCATTTTTTTTCCAACTGTAAATCTCTCTTTCAATTTTCTAAAATGAAAAATTCAAAAACTGTGAAGAAAGCAACGAAAATCTAAAATTGAGAGTAGGAAAAGAGACAAAATAAGAGAATAGAAGGAAAATTAAAAGGGACATAATAGTCTTTTCACGTGGCTTGACATTTTAAAAATATTTTAAGTAGGTCATAGGAAAGATATATTTTAAAACATAGGTCATTTGAGCAGGTCAAATCCGTCAATTTCCTGGACTAGGTGGGAGGGCGTAGCTGAAATATTGATATTTCTTGGGGTAGTTTTGATAGACAGGATTTGAAGGGTATAAATGGAAATTGATCTTTTCTTTTTAACATTAATTATCTTATTTAAAAACTTTAATCGAAGAATATCTCTAATATATTTAAAATAGTACATTTTGAGTCAAACAAACTAATCTTTTTTATTTGTTGTGAGTTTAAAATCATTAATTTGATAAAAAAAATAGATGTATTTAATTAATAAAACCTAAGACATAAGTTGATAATAACACAAAAACTTGTAAATAGGTAGGAATTAAGGTTGGTGCTGACCAATCAGTACTTATCTCTTATTGGCTACTATTAAATTTTTGACAGGTTAGAAATGAAATTTTGATGTTTGAAACTCCGTTTTAACCATGGATGAAGATAAAAGATGAATATAACAAATGATTTGGAAATTGTATTTTTCTTAACTTCAAAAGTGATCCCAAATCCAATCTTCCAAAACTATATAATTTAATATTTAATGTTTTACTAATGTAGGTCCAACCTTAAGGGAATATTCCACAAAGTGGTAGCCATAAAAATACTACAAAAATCAAATTTCTAAAATGGTAGTGTTTGATTGG